GCGTGAGTTGCTGGAGCCACGTCGCGACGCCGCTCGCTTGGCGCTTCCAATTCCGCCGTAGCCGGTCTCGGCGCTCGTGGTGGACCTCAAGCGTCACGAGGCGCAGACAGAGGACTTCAAGCACGGACGATATACGATACACGGCGTGCCAGCGCGTGAGACCTCGTTGAATGCGGTCGATGGCCTCGGGGGTCACCAGGACGAACGGGTTGGTCTGCGCGTCCGCGGCCTGCACGACGAGAGCGAGGATCGTCGCACACTTGTGGACCGTCACTGCGCTCGGGTGGTCGAGTGCGACGCTGAACGCTTGGAGGTAGCTCGCGTTGCGGAGCCAGAGACAAAGCGGGAGATGCCCCATCATTGTTGTCGTATACAGGGTATGCGTCGCATCGGCCGCTGTCTTGAGATGCGTTGACGCACTGAGCGACGAGAGCACGTGGAGAAACACCGATTGGGAGAGCCGAAGGTACCGGGTCCGGTACCACTGCAACAGAAAGAGTGCACTCTCGTGCATGGCAGATCGATCCTGAGCGATACATGCCGACGTGAGGATGTCCAGAGCTGTGTCAAAGATGTCTGTCCAGTGTGCGACGGCCTCGGCCCCCGACTCGGACCGTGAGATCCACTGCTTGCCACCAAAACGCACCACGTCATACTCGGCCTCTGCGGTCTCGGCGATCGACCCACCTCGGCTTCGCATGCTGGTGGGCACAACTAGGCGCGCTAACGAAAGCGTGTTGCTCCAGAGCCGCGACGAACGGCTCCCGTGGAGGTCGGTGACCGACGACGATATGCGCTGCCCAGCGTCTATAACCCAAGGCAATCAAGACCCTTGTTTCCTTCAATCGATAAAGCAAGTACCGCGCAAGGTGTGGCGTCGACCCAACTTGATAGCCTTATCGAGGCTTAAACCGGCGCGGCGAGGCAAGGACGTGCGGTCAATATTGTCCCTGTCCTTGACAAAGAGCTCGGGGAATATCGTCATCTCCCGCCGCATCTCGCCGATGACGCTGCGTTGCTTGCAAAAACTCTACTTCGTCGATGACCGTCAAGCTTTTTATCAAGAGAGCACGGTACCTCCAGGTGCAGAAACCACAGGATGCGCAGTGCATACACGCGTGTGTAAAGGTCCTTGCCTTGAGCAATCTTCTCGATATAGTTCACAACCGCGGCTAGGTCCGATGGATGCAACTTGGACGGATCCATGTACAGCGCCGCGATCGTCCCGACGGCCCGCGACGTCGACGACGTCGCGTCACTCAATAGTCCGAGAATGCTCTTGTCGGGGATGTGAAACTGCAATGCGCGTCGGTTGTTGAGACGCCACACGGTGAGCCAGAGAAGCGGCAGCGGCGTCAGGGCGTAGTAAAGGTCTGTGATGGGTGCCGACGCGCCAATAAACGCGAGGACGACCAGTGACGCGTACATGGCGCTGCTGAACGTGAGCGCGCGAATGTTGTTGGGGAGGCGACCGCTGCCGATGCACTAGAACGCATGATGTGCCTCCGACTTGATACAAACTTGAAAGCCTA